ATTCGAGGTGGAAATTCTTATGGGGTATTGAATGAGTAACTTAAAGCATTCCTCTTCTATGTCAGAGAACACTGGGATTTGGCCCCTTGTCAGTGAACCTCTCTGTGTCTCTGTGTTCAACTTTTTAATCTCAGGTTAGAGAATAAACTTCACTGTGGCATAACACTTATTAGGTACATGAAAAATAAGAGACAATATTACCAGGATATAAAATGTACTGCTTCTTTCTTACAGAGTTTCCAATTGTCAGAAAAATTTACTTACTCGTAAAATCCCACTGATGGTGTCTACAGACGTAAAAGTATGTGAATAGATGTTAATATTTTTTAAAAGTTTTGCATTTTCTTGTGCAAAATTTAAAAATGTGCAAGATATTTACATAGATAGATAGAGAGATAGATAGATAATGAAGCCTATTATCTAAACATATTAGAAAATGAATTAGGAATATCCGCCACCCCCTTGTCTTGGGTTTCTAGATTGTGAGCTTTATAGAATATAATTAAACATTGATATTCCATTAAAGAACTTACTCACTATCTGGTATTCCAGAAACTCAGAGAAAATTATTTTTCCCACTAAAGTGGGTGAAGTAATTGATATGTTTGTCCACACACAGACACATACACATATATTGGTTAATTGAATGCACAAAAAGTGCTATTTTAATAGAGAGACACAAAATATTACATATTCATGGGACTTAGGGACAAAACTATGCCTTGGAAATTTTCTGGAAAATCACATCAACTCCAGAGAAGTTGATATAAAGACAGCTAAAGATCTTCCCAAAGAGTGATCTTGATTTTGATAGTGGCAGTTCTACCAATACAAATACAAAAGAGTCAACGAATGGACAACTCTTTAGATTACAATTATGACTCAAGTAATTCATAGTCATTCCAGTGAAAACTGCACAGGGCTCTCTCTGCTGTTACTTGCAAAAGGCTAGCATAGAAATATCTTGTGCTCATGTGAAGAGTTGGCCCATATTTCCTCGCGTGTTATCCTGAAAGCAACAAATGACAGAAAAGAGTGATGAACATCTAAGCCACAGCTTTCTGGGGGTCAATTTATGGATGATTCATCTTACGGTTAAGTAAAGCTCCAAAAAATGTAATGAGGGAAACTATGAAATTGTTACAACAACTTGGCTCACTTTCTTAATCTGGTGAAATAAAATCAATCTGACCTAAATTTACTCTGGTCCTAACATTTTACTATGATTTAAGCTATTCACTGAAATTAACTGGTAAATGGCATAGTCAAATGTTTTCAGAAAGTTACAGGATGACAATGACTCAGGGACAAAGTGACCCAGAAAACGGATGTCATAGCAGCCCAGGTTCTGAGTGTCAATACATACTGAAACAGGACAGAGAAAAAACTCCAGGGGGAACTTTCTTCCAAGCTTGCAAATGTGGCCTTTCTTTTCCCAAGATAATGTCATACTGAGAAAAATCTGAACAAGGGGGGAATATGCTGTTTCCTATCACTCTTTCTGGTATATTTGTACTACAGGGGGCAAACATGGTGACTTTAACATACGACACAGGTCACTGAAGGCTACAAAAAAAAAGAAAAGTAAAAAGGAAACAAAAATCCTTTTGATTATTAAATAACAACAAGCAATAGCTTGTGTGTTTGAGTTCCCTCTCCAGCATAGGAAATCACTAGTTCTGCTCCCTCCGAGATACAGAGAAGGGGTAGAGTCTAAATTCTAACCCTAGTTAAGAGAAAAAAATTACCTCTGCATTAGTGAGCAACCTGACAGCTTCCATGTGGTCAGGCAAATTTTAAGTTAGAAGGAACTTTAAGCAAGACTTCCTCATTTCATTGACCAGTTTAATGTAGGTCAAATATATATACATGTACTATAGCCAGGCACTGTGGAGATTTAGGATATTTAGAGATAAGTAAAATCCAGTACTTGATCTGATGGAGTCTAAATATACTGGGATAGGTAGTGACAATGTGGTAAGAGTTGTGTGAGAGGTAGGTATCACTCAGAGTTTTTGGCTTCAAGCAACAGCAAATGACTGTGGCAGATCCAAACTGAAGAGCAACACACCAAACTTCAGTCCCAGAATTGCTGGGAGGGGCTGAAGAATCAGGCACATGGCTTATGAAGCCAGAGCAGCAGCCAAAGCAATGCCACTGAATAAGTTCCTTGTTTCTGCTAAGACCCAGGAACCACAATTTGCATGACCAACGCCATGAGCCCTGGACTCTGAACCCCACGGCCACCACAGTCACATCCGGAACAGCATGTTGTTTGCACAGCTGCCTCTGCTCACCACAACAGTGGGTTCTCTTCTGTCACTGCTTCTTTGTGTCATCAGTTCCTAATCCCTGGTCCCAGATAGCCATGTCTGATTGCCATTCTAAGTGCTTTGCCTCTCCCTTATCTACAAGGGCAGCTGGGACAGTAAGTCATTGGAATTTCAGCTTCTATGTTGGTTGTAACCATTGCATAAGTCAGTACAAGAAACATGGTAGGGGTAAGGAGGTCAGAAGAGACTTTCTTAAGGAAGTGATCCTGAGCCATGTGCTGAGGATGAGCTAAGGCCCCAACTTTACATAGCTGGTGATACTCACACAAGCAGGCTAAGGGGCCTCCAGTCCTTATGACATAATTAGAGGAGAGCTGGGAGGACTTTCCAGACAACAGCCACCTTCACCAGCCAGCCTTTTTGTCTGATGTTCGACACAAAACTCATTGTATAAGTCAGCAGGATCTAGAAGGTTCACTTCCTCCACAGTGGCTGACAGCTAGAAGACACAGCAGAGCATGTGGGGACCAGAAGAATCCCATAGAAGCAGAGGTGTGGGGAACTAGCAACTGTTGAAAGAATTCCCTTCCCTGGGGGAGGAGATCAATGGTTAAGAACTATTTAAATAGTCCGAAGTGCAGAGTTTATTCTTTAGAGCCAGTAGATTAGATAATAGGGGAAGGGATCCATAAATGCTGGAGTTGATAATCAGAAATCATAGATAGAGGTAGGGCCAGGTCTCCAAGACCATGGGACTGAGGACTCTAGGGAGCCCAGTCCTTCAGAAGCTGTTAGAAAGGCAAGTGCACAGCAGGGATTGGAGCTGGTAAACAGTGAGTGCTGACCCACTAGGGCTTTCATTTTGGGTACTGTCAAGGTTTCAAATGCTAGATTGAATACTTTGCCTTTCTGCAAATAAAGGCTGTGGGAGCCACACCAGACTAGACTGCAGGGGGATTCTGTTAACAGTACTCATCATGCATGGCATTTAGAGAGTTTTTTAAATGTAAATGTTTTCTGGGAGAGATAAAAATGGCGTTAGGTATTAACACACACACACCTTAGGGTTAATATCTCAGTTATTTTATGCATTGATTGTTTATCACAAACATCTACATGTACATTAATGAGTTAATGAGGTGGGGATACAATAAAGTCTTGCCTTCAAATAGGAATGTAAGGCTGCATATGTACACACACACCCACGTAAACCAATGAAACGAGATACACAATGTGTCATGAGAGGAGCAGATACAACATTATGAAATTGATTAGGAGGAAGAGAATAACTCAGATTAAGACAAACTGAGGAGGACATCTTTGGTGAAGAGTGTTTTTCATTGAGCTTTGGAAAAAATGAAATCTCTGAACATTTAAAGATGAGGAAAGATAGTTTCAGGGAGGAGAAACGCCATGCAGAACGCCATCTGTAGGGTCTGGGTAAATTAAGAACCATTTGTTTTGGAAGAAAATATAATGACATAAAGGAAAGCTAGATTCCAGTAGAGAGTTGAGGAACCTGTGACAAAGAGAAACAGACAGCTCAGTGTGGATTGTGGGATGAGTCAAGGGGAAACTTCAAAGGGAATCTGGGTGGATTAGGTGATTTGGCAGCATGACAGCCCGGGATGCATCAGGGAGGAAGGGGCAGTTAGAACAGTAGGAGAGAAAGTGCAGAAAAGGGAAAGGAAACTTTTTCTTTGTCACTCAGAATGACATGGCAGATGTCATTCTGCCATTTACTTACTTTAGATGAATCCTTCTATTATGTTTCTGAACCCAGACCCAGCCAGGACTTGTCTCTATTCGTTTTCTGGGCTGTGTCTAACAGGAAATAATAGGCTAGAGAGAGATGCTGTATGAGCAAATGGAGAAACACATTTGTTTTTAACATTCTCTGTTGCTGATTTTGGAAAAAGAATGTGAAACAATTATTGCACATTGCATTTTACTAAGTTTTACTTTTTATCCCCTTCCTTCTAATTTTCTCTTTCTTGAATTTTGAACAAAATAATACTGAAATATACAGAAGTAAAACACAAAACACAGAAATGGAAAGTAAAATGGAAGAAAATATCAAGAAAACTTTATTCTTACATTTTAAAGTGTTATCTTAAAAATCCAGAGCACTTTAGAAGGTGAAATGCCAAAAGGTCTCCATTATGTCTTTAGCACCTTTTGAGTGACAGTCACAGTGCTGATGTGGGGGGAACTAGTTAGACCCTGTCACTCACCAGGGAAGACTTTATTCACCTGTTCCACAGGGCAGTGAGGCACCCTCAGCTCTGAATCACCGAAAGAGAATCTGGTGGGGCAAGTTCCAGCTGTATGAGGATTTGTTTGCATAAATATTTTTTAGTTATTGCCAAGACTGAGGGTGCCTTCTTACTCCCTGGCAATCATTAAACCACTTTTATTTCCTTTCATAGAAATAAGATTATATTTACAGATTGTTCTTAGATATACTCACCTGATTTTTTTTTTTAATTGCTTTTCCACCTGCTTCCCCTTTCTTCTTAGGGTGAAACTCTAGCCATACGCCCTCTTCTGGTTTCGGGTGAGGAGCCTGAATTGTGGGTATCGTAGTTCTCTTACCTTTTGGGGTTTCTGGTTGGGCAGCCTTGGAGCCACACCGGTAGAACTTCAAGTCCCAGGTGGCTCAGGAAGCAGGGGTGCAGTCGCCTGCCTGCATATGGAGCAAGGCGTGTTTGAAGAGTACCCGGTTTTGGTAGAGTGACTTCTATTCACTAAAACCATGTGTCTGAACTGAAGAAGCTGGGGCTCACTTCCACAAATGTAAGTGCTGCTTTTTAAAAAATAATATTCCTTTCACTATTGATATGTGCTACACACTAGGAAGTTGTATCATTTCCAGAAAAATTTAACAAACCAACTGCTTAGATCAAGTCTTGCTTTTAAATAAAGGGAAGGTAACTGTTATTCTGTGGGCTTATGGGACATGTGTTAGAATAAACCTCATGACATAGAATAGAATAATATCTTGAGACATGGTTTAGAATAAAGTAGTTTATTTTTAAAAAGCAGGAACCCATGTGGCATTAACCAGCAAAACAAAACACTCTGAGTTGCTTAAAATATGTAAATGGCTGAAATCCCCTAAAAAGTTTAAATATTTCAAAAAGTATACAGGTATGTTTAAGAGACTGTGTTTTGAAGTTAGATAAAGTTGCAATCAGCAGCCCCACTGCTTATTAGATTTATGACCATTGACAAGATGTTTCACCTCACGAAGTCTCAGTTTCCTCATCTGTAAAGTGCGCATAACCTACCTCATAAGGTTAATAATATTAAATTAGCACAGTGTGTTGTACTGAATAGATAGACGATAAATGATGGAGGGTAACTTGGCTTCATCCTAATTAAGTTTCAATTAAGCTTGGAAAACACACCAAAGAAACAAAAAGACAAATACTGTATGCTTCAACTTACATGAGGTATCTAGAGTAGTCAAATTCACAGAACTGAAACGTAGAATGGTAGTTGCCAGGGGCTTAAGGGAAGGAGAAATGAGAGTTGTTTAATGGATATAGAGTTTCAGCTTACAAGATGAAAACACTTGGAGACTGTACAACAACGTAAATATATTTAATACTATTGAATTTACAATTTGTAAGTGTAAACACAAATAGGATGGTAAATTGTATGTTAAGTTTTTTACCACAATTAATAAAGATAGATTTTAAAAATTTATTTTTAAGATCAAAAAGCATGTAGTGAAAATTCCAATGCCTTCCATTTATTAAAGGTCTTCCTAATTCCCTAAAAATGTCTTAAGTCTATATTCCGTGGGTCTAATTTAGGATTGATATTAACTTATCTGTGTTAATGTCTGGTTTTTACATAGCAATTACTAGGAGATAATGATGAGTTTCAGGTATATGCTTAAAGTGATTCTTTTATGCCCCTATTAACTTAATTACATGATTATCATTTATTCATAATAGTGATTTTTAATACGATTTCATGGATAGTGTACAGAATCTAGAAATTATGAAGTCATAATTATTAGTTACAATTTGCTTAAAAGCTTTAGTTATGACTCATTTTTAAAACTTAAAGCAAAAATATTATTTATTCCAGTTTTCTCAACTTCCTTGTAGCTAACTTACAAATGGAATATTTTTATCTGTTTGTGTTTTAGAGATAATGTAAACTATTAAGGCAAAGTTTGTTAAACACCATCTTATCTTAAAATGTATTGACTGATTTGGAGGACAAAAGACATTTTGGAATTATACTGATTTTGAACTTGAAGACATGTCTGTTGAATTTTTAGATAATTCTTTCTTGAAAGACCACACATATGCCTAGGTGTCTATTAAGACTAAACATCTCTTATGGTATTTGGTGATAACTGAAGGTGATAACAACCAGCATTTTAGATGCGTGTGCAGAGTTTTTATGGGATATGCCATATATTAATAAATGTAAACACTATGTCAGCAAGTCCAGGATAGCATTAGAATGAAACTTGTAATTCTCCAAAGGTGGAGGAAAGCTGCAGAGGCACTGAACACAGTATGCTTCTAAAAGGGTGGCTTCTTTTTTGTTGTTGTCAAATGCTGTCTATGGTGTAGTGTCTCTAGGAAGTGTCATTTACTCTTTTGACAAATATTTCTAGCAATCCTGCAATATACTCCCACTGGGCTGAGTTTAGAGGCTAGAAGAAACTCATGCACAGCCTTTGAGGGGATCCTTATCTACTAGCGGAGATATGTCCTCATAAATAGTTAAAGAGAGTAAGTGCTAATTCATTAGTCATTCATGCTGTTCATAGAGTCACTCCACAGAAGGTGTGATGCTCAGTATCAGGGGATTAAAAAGACACTTTCAAAAACCTTTCTTTCAGCTATAATTACTGGAGATCAAATAAATAAATAAATAAACTTGAGAGATGTATATGAGTCATTAAAAAGCAGAGTGGAGTGACTTCCTAAAATACACTTCCTAAAATAAAAGAGACGCGTGCCCAGGCTGCCAGAGGAAGGGGCAGTCACAGTGCCCTGAATTTCAAGAGGACATTGTGGGAGGTGGTGGAACTTTAGGCAGGTCTGGGAAAATGTGCAGAGTTGAGATCGGCAGGAAAAGGTAATGAAAGTATCTCATGTACAGCAGTGTTTTCCAAACTTTGTGTACATTAAATGATTTTTGGGAACAGATGGACTGATCAATCAATAACATTAAGATGACAGGTTGAGAATGTTTTATTTTTTGACTTACTTTCAATTCTTCAGAAATAAGTTTTGTTGTTTTTGATATGACTTAAAGTTCTCCTAACACTTGTTTAAGCTTCCTTTATAACACTCACAGAATAAGCAATAAATGTTAGCAGGCAAAAAGTACGTGGTTTAATATGATTGCTCCTTTAAAATAACATTTATATATAGTTATTGCCTGTTTATTACAATAGATATCCCTTTTTTTCATTTATGGTACTAATAGAAGTTAACCTTTCAAGTATTTATCTTACTTAAAATAAGAGTGAATTTACAGGAAATATTAAGTAAAAAGTAGTTCAGGTGGCAATTGGTAGTGGAAAAATCATGATGAGGTACCAGAATGAGTGAAGTTTGGGAAACACTGAAGTAGGGGGAATATCAAGCCCAAGAATTAGGAAGTGAAATTGAATGGGCTGTTTTTATGTGTAGCTGGAAAGAAAGGAGGGATATTGGGTATTCCATGGAGGGTATTCTAGGGGATTTTGGATGATAATGCTGGAATAAGGTTGGTTGTAGAAGCTTTAAAGGGATTTATTCTTCAGCGGCTAGATAGCAGGGAGCTCAAAACAGTTCTGACCAGGAGCTGACTGTGGAAATCCATACTTTAGGGGGTTCCTCCTGGGCATAGTGTGCAGGAGGATTGGAGCATAGGGAACATGACGCCAGGAGAGCTCTTTGGAAATAGGTTTCAATAAGCTGAACATGAATAGATGAGGAGTGGTAGGAATTAAAATGGAAAAGAAGCAGGGGATGAAGGAGTCATTTGATTTAAAAAAAAAAAAAAAAAAAACCTGAATGATAATAATTACAATGATGGCTAAGCTGCTCTTGAGTTTTTATTTATTTTATTTTATTTTTTAACTTTTATTTTATGTACAGGGCTACACATGCAGGTTTGTTACATAGGTAAACTTATGTAATGGGGGTTTGTTGTACAGATTATTTCATCACCCAGGTTTTAAGCCTAGTACCCAATAGTTATTTATCTTGATCCTCTGCCTCCTCCCACCCACCACCCTTCAACTGGCCTCAGTGTGTGCTGTTCCCCTCTATGTGTCCATGTGTTCTCATCATTTAACTCTCACTCATAAGTGAGAACATGCAGTATTTGGTTTTCTGTTTCTGTGTTATTTTGCTAAGGATAATGGCCTCGAGCTCCATCCATGTCCCTGCAAAATACATGATCTTGTTCTTTTTTATGGCTATGTAGTATTCCATGGTGTATATGTACCACATTTTCTTTATCCAGTCCATCATTGATGGGCTTCCATGTCTTTGCCATTGTGAATAGCGCTGCAATGATCATACGTGTGCATATGTCTTTATAATAGGATGATTCATATTCCTTTGGGTATATACCCAGTAATGAGATTGCTGGATCGAATGGTATTTCTGTCTTTAGGACTCTGAGGAATTGCCAGACTGTCTTCCACAATGGCTGAACTAATTTACACTCTCACCAACAGCATATAAGCATTCCTTTTTCTCTACAACCTCGCCAGCATCTGTTATTTTTTGACTTTTTAGTAATAGCCATTCTGACTGGTGTTAGATGATATCTCATTGTGGTTTTGATTTGTTTTTCTTTAATGATCAGTGATGTTGAGCTTTTTTTCATATGATTGTTAGCCACATGTATGTCTTCTTTTGAAAAGAGAGCTTCCAAAGGGAAGGGTGGGCCACCGTCTTTGCATTTTCCACGTCTTAGTTGTTCCAGCCTGCGGTCGTTGGAGATGCCAAGTCAACCAAAGTGGAAGTGGTATCCCAGCACAGAACAGCTGCTCTATGAAAGCATGACCATGCAGCTTCTTTAAGCAGGTCCCCGATCTCATTTCTTTTCACTGGGTGGAACCTGCTAACCGGGCCCTCCAGCCACTCCTGCTAGTATTCTCCCATCTACAGAAATTTGAAAACTCCCTGGGCCAGAACTCTCAGAGGGAGGAGCGGGCTGCCATCTTTGTTGTTTGGGCATCTGGAGATTTTAAGCTTGGTGGTCTGAGAGAAGGACAGTAGCAGTGAAGGAAAAGAGAGGGAACTGTTTTCGTGGGGAAATGCAGCTTTGTATCTCAAATTGAGAGGAGAATGGACCTACAAGCAGAAAAGGGAAACTAGGTTGTTAATCATGTGGGATTGGAATTCTGGAGCGCCATCAGGGAGGGCCAGATAAACGGAGGAAACAAATATGTTCCTTATTAAAATGACACCTAGCTCTGCTTTTCCTCCTGCCCCACTCAAGGTTCCAGGAGAAGAGAGCTGAAGAAAGAATCTTCAGGTACTCGGGAAGGCAGAGGAAGGGCATGCTGACTCTTTCCTCCCAGGTTTTATTTTCTCTTTGGGGTTTTCTCTTGGTTACTATGGCTACCACCTTGCCCAGAGATAAGAGGCTTCTTTATAGGGGCCTTCCTTAGAATAAACAAAAACATCTTCATCTCCAGCCAGAACAGACATCAGGTTTAATTTCCAGGAATGGTAGAAGAGTTTTGTATGTTCTCTATTTCCAGTGGGAAAACACCTAATTTAGATATTTCCCCATACATGTAATATGTAGTAGACACT